AAAAAAAAAAAGAAAGACCAACACCACAACCAAACTTTGTGGATCCCAACCTCCTGGGCACCACGTCAAGACGTCTGAAACAGGGCAGGACTGCAGCTGGGGCTGGACCTGAATCTACGGATCACACAGTGCCCCCTCCAGGAAGAGCACGCCCTCCCCTGCAGCCCCAAATGGTGACAACCTCTCCACAGGCCCCACACTCTTGCCTCAGTCAGAGCAAACCCACCACAGTGCTGTTCCTGGGGGCTCAGGACAGGGTCCCCTCTGGAGCTGGGACAGGCTACTTCCCCACACCCAGCAGGAGATCCTGCCCAACTTTTCCCTTTTTTCGGCAAGGACTCGGTGTGTCCCCAGGTCACTCGTGGCCTGGGTGAGAGCCTGTCTCCATCTCTCTGCCTTGGCCTCCAAGCCAGCTATGAATAGTGGGGTCCATGCACAAGGTGGGGACTGCTGCCCACTCCCCCATGGCCTCTCCTCTCAGCGGCCCCCAGGTGAGGCCCATTCAGACAAGACACAGTGCAGAGGGTGGGACAGGCACATGAAGCAGACAGGTGAAAGGACAAGCACAGGGACCACCGGGACAGGCACAGAGAGCAGGGACACCTGACGAGCACAGGAGAGGGTCTGTCCCGAGCATCCCACAAAGATCAACTCACATACACACACACCTCAACGCCCAAGGAAGGTGTGACCCATTCAGTGCCAGCACCAGGGGAAGTTTGTCTCAACCACCAGTGAGTCTCTCAGCAGGAATGACAGCCCAGGGGTCTCCCACCCCAGACAAGAAACTGGCCCAACAGCCTAGAGAACAGTGGAGTCAAAGAAAGGAGGGGGGAGGAGGGGGGAGGAAGGGAAGCTGCTCTCCGTCCTAAGCCCTCCCACCATCCTGTGCCCTGGGGGTGATACACCTTTTGAAAGATCTATAGGCACTTTGCCCAGGGCTGCTGAGCTAAGGGCCACAGAGACTTTGGGAAAAGGCTGGACGTTTGCCCAGCTGGCGTGGCTCAGTGGCTGAGCATCAACCCAGGAACCAGGAGGTCACAGTTCGATTCCTGGTCAGGACACATGTCAAGGGTGAGGGCTCGATCCCCAGTTGGGGGCGTGCAGGAGGCAGCTGACCAATGACTCATCATTGCTGTTTCTCTCTCTCCCTCTCCCTTCCTTTCTCTGAAATTAATAAAAACATATATTTTTTTAAAAGGCTGGACATTTGCAGAGACCCTGGAAGCTGGCCTCTCACCCTCTGCTCCTTCAGCATCAGCCTCACCTGCACGCACATCACCTGTGTCCCACTTGCCAGGTCTGCATCTCAACCGGAGCCCAGAAAGTGAGACCCTGAGGGGACATGTGCTCATAGTCTGAATTTTAACAACTGTCCCCGCTCAGTCCTGGAGCCTGGATGTGTTGTGAAGGCCATGTGCAGACACCTCCATGCACACACACACATGCACACTCGTGCACACACGCACACACACGCATACACCTCCATGTGCGCATGCACCAATGTCCGGTGCTCACGGTGCCCCCTCAGGCCTCCTTTCACAGGACATGCAGGTACAGACCACAAAGCCCTGGCACAGAGCAAGGCAAGAGGGACTCACCTTGAGGTCCCTGTGAACGACCCCCATCTGGTGGCAGTGGAGAACCGCCTCCAGGATCTGCTGGATGCAGTGACTGTGGCAGACAGCACGTGCATTAGTGCGGTGGCCCGTGTAGATGCAGGAGCGGGGGCTGTGGGACTGGGNGGGGGGGTGAGGTCCCAGCCTGGTGGGGCCACAGGAGGCAGGGAATCAAGGCGCTGTCTCCCTGCCACATGGGAGCAGAGACGCTGTCCAGGAGGGGCCTCTGGGGTGCCTCCCTCACCCCAGGTCAGCTCAGGCCTGGCCAGGCCCCTATGCCAAACCCCACCCCCACCCCGCTCTCCCCTTTGCCAGGCCCATCCAGCGACACTCTGAGGAAACATCCCGGCTGCCCAGGGCCCCTCCCCAGGCTCATGCTAGCCAATCCTGACTCTGAGCTGGGCCCTCTGAGAGGAAGGCCAGGGTGGGGCCCACACCCTGCAAGCCAGTCCAGGAGGAACCCAGGCAGGAAAAGGGCAGAGGGGGAAAGGGAAAGGGCAGAGGAGAGAGGGCAGGCGGCACCCAGGTGTGGGCAGTGCTGATGCTGCAGCCCCCAGTCACTCATGGGCCAGAGCAGGTGCCACTTCATCCCAATAAACTGGAAGCCCCCGCCCCCACTGCTGCCACCCCTGCACTGGACGGCTCAGCTCTACAGCAGCCTGGGGCTCTATTGCTCTCCTGAGAGGGCAGCCAGACACTGCCCCGGGCCCAAGCCAGGGGCTCCCTTCCAGGTCAGGGAGCAGTCCCCACCTTTCCGGGATGACCGGCCCAAGGGAGAGTTCTGGGCTGCCCTGGGCACCACCACCACCTGTGCTTCACAGTGCTCTGCACGTCTGACCCGATGTCCCCGCCCTGCACACAGGAGACCCTGTGGCTGAGCCTGCCTCCCCCAACTGTCCAGTTTTCAGCAGCCCCCAGAGCCAGACACAGGCCCTTGGGGTCCCCGACCACCCTGTGGCTTTGCCAGCTATGGGAGACGGGAGGCCATAGGCCACCTGAAGCCCACTGCCCGGGGTCTCCCTCACAGCCCCTCTGAATGGGGTGAAGGGGGGATGGAAAGATTCCCCCAGGGCCCTTCCTGCCCCTGCTGGACCCTGTGCAGTGACCGAGGGTCAGAGGAGGGGTGGGCTTTGTTTTCCTAACAACCAACAAGGCACAGGATAGGGACCAGCCCTCTCTTCACACAGCTGTGGCCACATCTAGATACCATCGGTCACCGCACAGAACAGTAAACCTGAGCCCCTGCCCATGGTGGAACCCAGATCCCAGAACCCCAGAGATAGCATTTGCTGAAACTGTGGGTCAGGCGAAGCTGGGGTTAACCTTGTGGAAGACAGTCCCCCACAGCCCTGGGCTGGAACCATAGCCCTGTCCCCCCACCTCGGCCCTGGCTCTCCCTCCCTACTCCCGTCCCTCCCACACACCCTCATCTGCCCAGAGCAGTCCTGTCCCGTGTCCCCAGCCCACACTCAGCAGCACCCCCACCCCCACTGCCCTGTTACTGCAGACACCCCAAGGGCTGACCCAGCTTGAAAGCTGGTCTAGGGTGGGCAGAGCTCAGCCGTGAGATCTGAGCCGCTCTCGAGGGCAGCACAGGCTGCTGTGAGGAGGCCAAGGCCGGGCAAAGCCCCTAGTACTTGCCAAGGAGGTTTTGGCCGCTGATCCAGGGCTCAGGGCAGGAGACACGGGCTTTTGCAGCCCCCAGGGGCCCTCACAGGCCCAGTGCTCACTAGGGGAGCGCCTGCTGGGACCCTGCGGGCACCACCCCACACTGGGCCTGCAGGACTCCTGGTGCACCAGCCTGGGCCTGTACTGATGCCCGGCCTGGCTCGGCCCCAGGGTCGGCGGTGGTTTGTGCGCCTGGCTGTGAGCCCTGCTGCCTGTAGAGCCCTTTTTCCTGTGACCAGAGTCCTACGCAGCCCTGGCTACCGTTCCTGCGCCTCTAGCCACTCTCCACACCCTGGAGTGACCTTTCCAACTGCAAGTGCTGGTCTCAACTCTGGGCAACAGACCTGTGTCTTCACCCCAAGGCCCTGCCTTCCAGATGCCCTCCGGAGTCTCCATGTCAGGTATCCTCGAAGAACCCACGCTGTCCCCCTGCAGTCATGGGGGACTCGATCCTGGGTGGGTGTCTGGGCAGCATCCATCTCCACTGATTGTGGCCGTGGTGTCTGCAGGGACGCTCCCTTCTCTCCTCTCACCTGTGACCTCAGCTTATGCCTTGCAGACCCCATGGGTCCCTCTGCCACAGCACCTCGTGTGAGGTCGACGCGGATGGGTGGGCTTCGCCCCTGCCCTCTGCCAAGTGCCCTCCTGGGGACACAGAGCTCCTGCTAAGCGGGCACTGGGTCTGCACCTCTCCGGAGCACCACAGGACTGGGCGGCGCAGGACATGTCAGGGCCACCCTGATGGCCACGCTGTAGGCAGCACACAGACTTCCCCTGGCTTCGCTCCCCAAGCTTACGAAGAACTGGACAAGCAAACCAGGTTCCCCAACAGAACACGGTGGGCTATCCTGCCCACAAGACAGCGCTGACCCTTCTCTGGCTGGCTCTTCACAGGGTCTCCCCAACGTGGGAGTCACCTCTGCAGCCTGCAGGTGTGCAGGGCGCCCACCTGCCTGGAAAGCAGCCTATTCCAGCAGCCCCGGATCTGGGGACCCCTGGGGACTGCTCCTGGGACCCTCCTCACCTTGCTCTCACCCTAGTATCCAAGCTGAGACTACGGCCGGAGGACGTGAGGCCGCCTGGCCACAGCCAGCCACGAGGTCTGGTTGCCTTCTTCCTCTGGTTTATTTACACGCACCTGCTTCCTCATGGGGCTGTCTGCCACATTCTGAACAATCTAGAGTCACTTTCGTGTTCAGAACTGTTCCCAAGGAGCACCCTAGGTGCCAGCTGGCCTGGACATGTTCTCAGGGCTCTGGGCTCCTTCCCTCCTCCGCACTCCCACGGCCCGTCGCCATCTCTCTCGAGCCATATTGCTTTTCAGGGTTTTTAAAACTGGGTTGTAAATATTCTGAACTTTGCTTTTCCAGGTGTGATGAAAGACCCCTCGGTTTCCCTGCCAACTCTGAAATGAAGAATTGGTTTCCTCTTCAAAGGGCTCGCCAGCCTCCTGGGTTGGAAAACAGTTCAGCAAAGCCGCTGCCACCTGGCTGCTTCTCCTCTAGGGACCCACACTTGGGGCCCACACGAGGTGACGCATCTGCTGCTGGGCTTGGAGCAGCAGGCCCTGGAGGGTCACTGGTGAGGGAAGGGCCCCGGCCCTGGGCCTGGCTAGGGCTCCTGCCTCAGCACAACCCTGAGTCCTTTCTCTGGGGGTTCCCAGGGGATACGCAGCCCTCCTGGGATGGGATTCTCCCCACAATGCCCGTGGTGACCCCCCAGACTCCCTCCTGACCCAGGCAAAGCGCCAACACAATGGTCGTACACAGGCCTCCAACACAGTGGAGGATCCAGGACCCCCGGGAGAAGAGACACCGAGGGTGTTCCCTGTGGGGACAGCTAGAGGAGTGTCCTTCCTCCTCACTCCTCACGGTCTGGCTGTGACAGGAAACGAGGCATCGTGGGAGGGGCCCCAGCACAGAGCCCCCCTCCTCTGGGCCAGTTCCAACGGGCCCCAAAAGTCAGTGGAGCCCTATCACTAGAGAGGGCAGAATACAGGCAGGAGGGGTCCCCAGGAGTGAAAGGGTAAAGCCCGGGAAGGAGGGACAGGTGAGCAAGGGAGGAGCTCTGAGGCCAAGGGGTCTGGAGGCATGAGGTGTGACTGGAATGTGGGTCAGGCATGGTTGGAGCACTGTGGGGCGTGGCAGGAGAGGGATGTTATTTGGGACGTGGGAGGGGGTGTGGTCATAGTGGGTGTGGTGTGGGCACGGTTGGAAATGTAGTGTGGCCAGGGTGTAGGCGGGCACAGGGCTCTAGAGGAAGGCCCTATGAGCAGCTGGCTGGATTGTCCTGGGGCTCCAGGCTGAGTCCCCTCCCCGACCTTGCACTGCTGCCCCAGAGAGCGCCAGGCCCCAGTGGTGCCCAGAGCTGGGGCTGGATGGTCCAGGTAAGCAGCCTTCCCACATCCAGGTGGCACCCCTCCTCCTCCGAGAGTTCAGTCTAGCTGCTGACCCGGGGCCATGAAACCCCTCCTGGGGGTGGCCCACGGGACCTACTTCTCCCACCCTGGCCCGGCCTGCACCTGTCGCCCAGGAGCCCTGAGCTCCAGGACATGTGAGGACGGCCTGGGTCCTGGAGTCCCGACCTCCCAGCAGGCAGGCACTCACACTGGACAGGCCCACAGGAGTGCGGTGGAGCAGAAGGAGGGGCTGTGCCCCACTCCCTGCTTTCCTAGTAAGTAGGAAATAAAACATGTTTTCTCTCTCGAAAGGGACAGGCCACTCACCGGCTGTTTGCAAAATGCAAGTCCTTCCTTGAGGAGCCTCAGAAAATCAGCCAGTGCCCCTCCACCTGCGCTGGTCTGGCTTCCCCTCCCCAGCCCAGGCCTCCCCCAGCGGCCCAGCTCTGGGAGGCACCAGCACCCCTTCAAACCTCCTCACAGGGACTCAGACCGCCACCAACAGGCAAGGTAGGTGCAGAACCAAGTCACAAAAAGCTACTTTAAAAAATAACATTCACTTTCCTTGATTAGAAAAGTAATACATATTCATTAAAGAAAAGTTTTAAAATAGACAAAGAAGACTAAAAAATGGAAAAGCATCCATAATTCCACCTAAAGAGGGCCACTGGCAGCCTTCTTTCTTTTTTTAAAGGCATGTCTCCTTGCACCAGGAGGGCAAGGTAGGGAGTGGCTGCCCTCAGCTGTCTCCAAGCTTAGACACACTGTCAGGAGTGGCATTCCTGTCATGGATCAGGGTGGCATCTGGCCCACAAGCACGGGCTGAGTGAGGGGCGGGCAGGGCGGGACAGGGTGAGGGCTCTACACCCACCTGGCATCCGCCTCGCTGTAGTACTCTCTCGCCACAATGTCCTCAAATAGCTCCCCACCAGTGACCCTGCAGGAAAGCACACAGGAGTCAAGACTCTGGAGACCCGTCACCCCGTTCCCTCCATTACTGTCTCTACCATCTCCTCCCCCTCTGCCCCGGCCCCTCTGCCCCACAGACACTGTCACCTAGGACTGGTGGCTTACTGAGCACTCATTCAAAGACGGTGCATTTAGCATTTTGTCCTTGCACCCCCTCCATGACAGGGGTGCTCAGCTCAGAGAACTGAGTGTTGATTGTCTCAGTGACCTGCCCGAAGAGTGGGCAGCTCAGGCGTTTGATCCAGGCCTCTGCCGTGGTGCTCCGGCCTTGAAATTCTAACTAGAGGCCTGAGAAGGTCTGAATCCCCTCCTCAAACACCCCAGGGCCAGAGATGTGCCCCCTGCCCCACACACAGAGCAGAGGGTCTGGCCTCCTTTATGGGCAGGGTCTCAAGGTGCCCAAAGTCCCACCTCCAGGAGGAGAGTGGGATCTCTGTCCACAGACGCTCTAGTTGTGTGTCAGTCCCTACGGTCAGGATGGGTCCCCTGGGTAGGAGCCACTGCCTAGAGGGCCTCTGGGAAGCCAGAAAGGGTCCAGGCTGTTCAGGGCCCCCTGGGCTGGGAAATATGGGTGTGGAAGAAAAGGTGCAGAAAGCAGAGTCCAGGGAGGGACACGTGCATGAAGCAGGGAGGAGCCACCCTGGGTCTACCCAGCCCCTCACTCAAACCCACCAGTTCTGCACCTGCAGGGAAACTCCGCCTAGAGCTTTCCCACCCTGAGGTGGTCCACAGCCTCCCTCTTGTGTCCTCACTCTGCCTTGCACTGCACCCTCCTCAGCTGCCCATGGGCTCTGGGCTCTGCATATGAACTTCAGTTCCCAGTAATTTCTAAGGAGGCCTCAGTAGGGTCTGAACCACCACAGCCTCGGGGGCCACAGAGGTCGGAGGAGAGGATGCCTCCTCAGCCCCCAGAAACACCAGCCAATTTCCTCTCGCTGGCCCCCCTCAGAGCCTCTCCCCATGCCTGCCTGCCTTGTGGGCCAAAAGGAACAAGAATCTCATGGGCACACACATATACACATGCACACTTGTGCACGCACTTACACAGTGCACGCATTCACATGTACAAGCGTGCACACACACACCATCCCCTCCCCTTGACTACTCCTGAGTCATACACCCACCTGTCAGCCACCAGAGTCTCTGGACAAGGCCACCTCCAGCTCGGTGGCCTCTACATTTCCTGGGAAGGGGGATAGCGAGCCTGCCACCTCTGAGGGGCCATGGGACAGAGTTTCAGGGTACAGCCTTGGCCTGGCAGCCCTGGACACCTGATTGGTGACTCTAAGCGGTGTCTTGTGGGACATGAGTACTGAGAGGTGGCCAAACCCTCACAGGGATAGCCCTAGCCTCTCTCGACTGAGGAACCTGAGTGGGCTGAGGACTTCTCAGGCCTCCATGCCCTATGGCCCGAGGCAGCTGTCCTTTAAGGGAGAGAGCGCCCTCCATGCCTCGTCACCATGGCAACAGCACCCAGTGGGGCTTTCCTGGCCCTGAGGCAGCCTGGAGGCCACCCAGGGCTGCCCAAATCCTATGGCCCCTGCCTGCGCCATGTCCCAAGCACCCTGTGTCCCCAGTGGCAGTGACTCACAGACAGCTAAATATAGCCCTGCTCAGGGGAGCTGTCAGGGAGCAGGGGGTGAGATCACCACTTCTAATTCCTGCAGGAAGTGAGAGGTGGCAGAGGCCCAGATGCCTTCTCACTCAGTCCCCACACATGTACAAACACACATGTACACACACTCCAAAACCACATGACACAACATGTACACACCATACAAATCACACAGACATACATGTACATGACCCACAAACCACACGTATGCATACTACACTCCACAAACTACACAACACAGACGTGTATGCACCACACTGGTCATGTCAGCACACACATGCACATGTATACACACACAAACCACACGTGCACACACTCCACAAACTGCACAACACACATGTACACACCCCACACATCACACACGCACATACATGTACACACCCCACAGATCACACATGCACCCAGGTACACACACATACACAGATATTCCCTCTCAAATCACACGTGCACACGTTCATGCAGTCACTCACCTATGCTGACATCCACACGTGCACACTCATCAACATACACAAATGCACACATGCAACCATAGCCACACACATGCATTCTCACACACGCATGTGCATGCTCATGCCAGCCAGGTGCCCCAGTTCAGCTGTGGGGAGGACACCAAGGGAGAGAAGGGATGTAAGGCCAAGAACCTTTGCCTCAGGGGCCCCCCCTCTCTCTCCCCTTCAGGTTCTGTCTGGAAGAGAGGGCCCAGCGCAGTGGCCCCAGCCTGTGGGACCGAGTAGCTGGCTGCTAAGCAGCCAGGGAGGAGCGGGAGGCTAGGCCAGGTGGCTGGGACTGTCCACCAGGGGCTGCGAAGGTCTTGGGTCCCACTCCAGGCCCGAAGCTGAGCACTTACAGATCGAAGACCAGGTAGTGGAACCCCTCCTCGGAGATGCTGTCGTGCAGACGCACTGTGGGGACAGAAGAGACCGTGAGGGCTGGCAGCAGCTGGATGCCTCTGTGCAAGGGGGAGCCCGCCCCTCCAGGGCCTGGGGCTCCTACGGTGCGGGCCGGCAGCAAAGCTAGAGGGAGGCTGTGGGCCCTGAGGGCCAGTGGCCAGGGGAGTGTTTATGGGGCATCCGGGTATCCCCATGACGACGGGCTCACACACCAGGCCCCAGAAAGGAGCCATGGAGGAGCTTTGGGGAGAGAAGCACAGTGGGCTGAGGGTCAGGGGTCTCAGACAGAGACCACCCACCAAATGGGGCATCACTTCCAAAGGTTCAGACCCTGGGCTCAGATTCCAGACCCTGGGGGTCAGTAGATGGCCCTGTGACCAAGCACGCCCCCACCACGGCTTAACCACATTTCTTCTATCCCTAAGCCCAGAACCATGCCCACCTAGTCCTGTGACAATGGTGAGTGAAAGCAAGGTGGGCTCCAGCACGGGAAGGCAGCCTCTCCCTGAGCAGGAGGTGCACACCCGAAACAGCAAACATTTCTGGGAATGGCTCATTCTGGACACGGCCCCCATGTGGCTGCAGTGGCCCCACGTGACCAAAGCCCTGGTCTGGTAGTGGCAAGGATGCCCAGGCCAGCGGCTCCCAAACCCACTACCCTAAGAGGCGGAGACGTTTCCGGCTGGAGGGTAGGGCTTCAACGCAGAAGAGAAAAGCAGTCCCTGGAGTCTGGAAGGGACTGGCTGCCAACCACTGGGAGGGAGGTGGGACCCTGCTCTGCCCCCACAGGTGCCTCACCTATGTTGGAGTGCTTCAGAAGGCGACAGATTCGAGCCTCTCTCTCCAGCTTCTGGTGATCTGGGGACAGAAAGGGACATGGTGTCACCTCGTGTCCCAGCAGCCAGTCACTCCCCAGGCCTGCAGCCACCCAGACCACCATATGCTGGACCAGCTGCCATCTCTGAAGGTGGCTATCTGTGACATGGGCCTTGGGCAGGACCTCTGAGGGTGCAGGACCTGACCCCCCTCCACACACACACATTCACAACCAGAGGCCTGAGCCTGGTGGGTGTGTTTATGCAGCACTGGCAGGAGAAGGACTGGAGGTGACCGGGGTCCTAGCCCTGTGCCCACACCCCGATGCAGGACCTCCATTCCAGAGGCTGCCCCGCAAGGACCCAGCAACTTACCAGCCAGAAATTATAGATCTCACACAGAGATGTCAGGAGAATTTAAAAGCTGATGGAAATTGTAATAGCAAAAAACTAAAAAAACACTTCCACTGACCAGAGAACACAGAAATAAATGTGGCTGCATCATACAACAGGACATGCCCGTCCACACGTGTGCATCACCCCAACCCCAATGCAAGGCTGAGTGAGAAAAGCCACTCACAAAGAAAAAGCCAAATCGTGCTGTGTTCACACACACACTACTGCACACACACACACAAATGCACGTGCACACACGCATACAAAACACACATGCACACATGCCGCTGGGCGCGCACACACGTGCACACTCACATACCACTGTGCACACATGTGCAGGAACAGGCTGGATCAGGACACGCGTACGTACTTGCAAACACACATGTCTTTCCTGAGTGGGGAAGTCACACCTGCAGACAGGAGTTGCTCGGGAAAGGAGGGGACACCTGGGGCATCAGCTGTCTCTCCCCCCTCCCAGGACAGGCACTCAAGCCTCCTGGAAATGCTAATAGCCCCTGCACAGCTCACCTGGCCGCCATCTGTCCCTGGCACCGGGAGGCTCCCTCACCTCCACACCCCACACAGCAGACACTGGAAGCAGCCCAGCACCCCCACCAGGATGGACACACAGGCGGCAATGCCACAGAACACAGCCTGAGTACTGTTTTTCCAACACTAAACACAACTGTGGGGTCTGGGGACCTGTGCCCGGCACCAGCTTCAGGGTACCTGTCCTGACACCGCCTGCCCCTCCCCTGAAGGTGCACTGGGAGGAAGGGCTAGGGTGCAGGGTGGTAGGCTCACAGGGTGCTTTTTCCTTTCACAGTTTTTTTTAAACTTACTGTTCTGAACATTTTTTAAACTGAGAGAAGAGCTGCAAGGTCACGGAGTTCTCATGGACAGCACTTTTGTGTCTCTCTCCTTCCACACACACGTGCACACACATTTGCACACACGCACATGGTCCCCAGCCTTCCCCAGGTGTGTATTTTGTAAGAACAAGGACATTCTCAGTGCAGTTACCCCACATAGTAAACCCCATGAGGATATGACACTTGAATCCAACCTACAGTCCACATTCCAATTTTGTCAACTGTTCCAACAGTCAGTGTCATCACTGATTTCCCCCCATCGTGTGGGCGGCAGCTGAGACGCCCGCCTGTGTGTGGATGGGGTGGAGCTAGGCTGAGGTCAGGGAGAGCCGGGAAGGTAAGGGGGAGGTTCTCTTTGGAACATTGCCTGATTTCAGTCATAAATAAAAACCAGGAGCGAAATGCATGTGGGAGCCCATCTCTGAGAAGTAAATGACCTAAAGGCCTGTGTTATTACTAAAACCTGTTGCTGAGGGTGGGGCCCCATCCAGAAGGTCTCCACCTGCTCCTTGTGTTTGGGGACATAACTTATTTGTGTGGGGCCAAGGAGAGGCACCTAGATGCCCTGCCCAGGCACCCGTGTCCACCCCACCACAGCAGGTCACTGGCCCTCCCGGCCACCACCTGTCTGCGTCAGGCACACGGTACCTGGCCAGGGCTCGGTGGCTCAGGACGCCATCGCCGCACCTGCGTACAAGACATCACCACGGTAACAGCGCTTCAGGCTGGGTGGCAGGATTATGAGTAATTTTATTTATTCTTTATATGTCTCCCCAACTTTGACAATGATCTTGTGCTACTTTTATAATTAGGCAACATGTTTGTTGTTTTGTAAAAATAGTTTGACCTTCACCCTGGCCAGTGCGGCTCAGTGGTTCAAGCGTCGGCAGGAGCACCAAAAGGTCTCCGGTTCGATTCCCGGTCAAGGGCACATACCTGGGTTGCAGCCTCGAGCCCCAGCCCTGGTCAGGGTGCCTTCGGAAGGCAACCAATGGATGTGTCTCTCTGGCATCTGTGTTTCTCTCTCCCTCCCTCCCTCACTCCCTCTCTGAAAATCAATGGAAAAATATCCTCAGGTGAGAGTTAAAAACGAGGAGGAAAAGTGAGAGCTGCTGAGGGTGTCGGGAGATGGGGGAGGACAGCGTGGCCCTGCAGCGGGCACAGTCACAGTAGGGAAACTGAGGCACGAAGCAGCGCTCAGAGTCCTCCAGGGCTGGTGGCCTCCTTCATGGCCCCCAGTGACAGCCCCCCTGTGTCCTGACATCCCCCACCGTCCTGGCTCCCACCTGCCCCCTGGCTGTGGGGCTGGGGGAGAAAAGCCAGGGGGAGGTGGGCAGGAGGGACGTGGGTGGATGCCTGGCCTCTGCCAGCCATCAGCAGCAGCAGCACTGTCACTGGCAAGAGGACATCTGAGAAGGGCTGGGCGGAAGGATGGGAGGGGGCTGCCAACCTCTCCCCCAGGCTCTGCCGGGAACACGCGCGGCCGAGTACCGGGTGTGAAATCCTACCTGGGAAGGCCACACTGCCCGGCACCAGGGCTCTCTCTCCTCCCAGGGCATCTGCTGGACACCATGGACCCTGGGGCCAGGCGGAGAGGCCGTGCTCACTGGGAGACCCCTGCCTCTGCCAGCATGAGGGTTCTCCCCTCTGCCTCGGCTCCCAGCCTGCCAGAGGAGGGCAGGGACAGCACAGGGCTCTGCTGGGGCCCTGGCTGGGACACGGAGCCTGGGACATGTCGGGGCGCCAGCTGAGGTCATGGGCCCCCTTGGCTCTGGCCCAGGATGCCACACACAGAGCCCCCGGGGGAGGAGGCCCATGCTGATGCTGACCACCTTGGGGCTGAGGGGGGAGCTCCCAGGTCCTGCCCAGTGTCCAGCTGCTGGCCCTGCTCTCCCCAGGTGAACCCGCTGCAGACCTCAGCCACCGCCTGCAGCTGGGGCAGCCGGCCACCCGTGCGCAGGTCTCGGGTGGCCCTGGGGACACCGGACTCGGGCCCTGAAGGAGCCAAGGCTCCTGCGAGTGTTTCCAACGGGTGAAGGGTGTGGCCCTCGCCCACCGCCTGCGGTGGCCCCTGTCCTGCCAGCCCCGCCCCCGAGCCCGCGTGCTAAGCGCTGTGGGGGCAGCTCTTTGACTCACCCCCCGAAGGCCCCCGGCGCCCAGGCTGAGCGCGGGACCCCAGGCCGCTGGGCCAGACCCTGGGGGGCCGCCCTGGACCCTCACGCC